ATTTCTTCCTCCCCTCCCCTCAAAGAAGATGAGAGATCCAGTATGTTTGAAATTTAACAAGACAGTCACATGAAAGGAGGTAATACTAATAACCAAGTGTCTGGCAGCAGCTCTCTCCCCTTTGTTGGAAAAATGAGGTCTGTCAGTGACTGGATGGCAAATATTGGGGGAGCCAATTGAACAGAAGCCCCTCAGTGTAAGTGCTGGTGGCCTGAGCAGTTTTCTCAAACAGTGCAGGGACTGAGAACCCTGTAAGCCTTTTTCCAGCATGGGGGAATTAAACTCAGACCTTCACACTAAGCTAAATCCCCAGAATTTTTTTTTTTTTTTTAATTTTGAGACAAGTTCTTGCTAAGTTGTCAAGGCTAGCCTCCAACTTAAGATTCTCCTGCCTCAGTTTCCCAAATAGCTAGGCTTATAGTTGAGCAATACCATACTGGACCATGAAGGAGTTTTGATTGTCTGTTAATAATAGAGTACCTCACCACTTCCTATCCTTGCTGAGCTTTCTGGATGTACAGTTTTTTTTTTTTTTTCATGGGGGATTAAATTTGGAACCTTGAACTTGCCAGTAAGGTACTTATGCTGCTTAGCATTCTCCCCAGCCCCTTGATTTTCAACCCTGGGTTTTGCTGCGTAGCCCAGGCTAGCCTCAAATTCGCAGTGATCTCCTACCTCAGCCCCCCAAGTAGCCGGGCCTACAGATGTGTGCCACCATGCCTGGCTCAGCTGTTGGTGTCTGCTGAGGTGTTGGTGTCTCCCTTTTTGGATAATGGCACTTCATTCCCAATGCTGATGCATATGGCACAAGTGGTACTGGTCTCTTCCGGGCCTGGGACCGACGTACACTTAGACTTTGCAGGCTGAATTGTCTTAGTATTTGGACTCAGAATCTCTTTTGCTTCTTCTGTGAAAGTGGGTACTGAACTCAGAACCTTCACTTTGAGTTACATGTAGCCCCTTTTCATTTCTTATTTTGAGACAGGGTCATGCTAAATGGCTACGCTGCTCAGGCTGGACTCATACTTGCAGTCCTCCTGCCTCAGCCCTCAGCGTACTGAGATTATTAGCACATGCCACTACGCTACACTTGGCTCCCCCAACTTTTTGCCTTTTTTTTTGGTTTTGTTTTGTTGGGTTTTTTGTTTGTTTTTGTGAACTCAGGCCCTTGCGCTTGCCAGGGAAGCGCTTATTCCACTGAGCCATCTCCCCAGCCCCAACTTTTTGCTTTTTGAGACAGCATCTCGCTATGTAGTCCAGGCTGAAATGGAACTCACTATATACTTGCAGTGATCCTCCTGCTTAAGCCTCTTGAGTGCTGCGATTACAGGCATGTGCCACTATGCCCAGGCTTACTCCCAACATTTAATTTTTTAAAAAATGTATTTGGTACAGGGTTTCACTACACACCTTGACTTGTAGTGATCCTCCTGTTTTCATCCTCCCCAGTGCTGGGATTACAGGCATGCACCACCATGCTTGGACTAAGTGGCTGGCTTAGCGTGCCTGGGTGTGGGTCTGGCATGGCATGCTGTGCTGGGGATCAAACCCTGGGTCCTACGCTTGCCTAAGCAGGCACTTAGTCTGATGAGCTATCTGGCCGGCCCTTAAAAAATTTTAGGTTGAATTAGAGTCTCACTAATTGCTCAGGGTAGCCTTGAATTTTCAATCTTCCTGTTTCAGTTTCCAGAATAGCTGGGATTATAGGCATACACCACCACTTCTTACTTCAACTGAGAGTTTCCAAGATGGAAAACCATTGGTTCTGATTTATTCTGATAAAACTCAGAACAGTGTTCTGTCTCTACCTATACGTGGTGCCTACTCTTCCTGGGGTTGAACTTGTTACTATTTTCTACTGCACTTTCCAGTAAATTTCTTATTTGCTTAAGGTAACTGGGGCGCATGTTTGCCTCTTGAAGCCAAACACCCGAGCAGGTACAGTGAGTGATAAAGCACAGGTATACACAAAATCTGAAGAGCCCGCATTTCGTTGTGGTACAGTGTTCTGCTACGAAAAATAAAACGAGGCTGTGTAAATATGTTGAGATGAGACTTAGGGTCCTGAGTTCTTATTTCCTGGAGATGTTTTTTTTTTTTTTTTTTTGGTACCAAAAATCAAATTCAGGACCTTGCACCACTGAGCTACATCGCAGGCCCCTGGAGATGTTCTTGTGCTGGCTGGATGGTCACTCTGTAGGGCTGCTGCCAAGAGACTGAAGCATTCTATGAAGAGGGAAGACACGGGAACCAAGCTTTGTAACTGGGGAGGGGAGGAGAGGTTGAAGGGCGGGTAGGGAAATGGGGAAGAAGCAGAAGTATTCTGAAAAATTAAAAAAAAATTCTATGAAGTGATTTTATCATTTATTTATTTATTTGTGGCTGGCTCAGCCCGCCCTGGGAGTGGGGCTGGCACCACATGTGGTACTGGGGCTTGAACCGCGGTCTCTGCACTTACCAAAGCAGGCGCTTGAGTCCGCTGAGCTATCTCCCCGGCGCTGTAATGACTTTAAAGTTCACATTCAACCTAAATTCTAAATCTCAGGGCTGGCGGTATAGCTCAGCGGACTAAGCGCTTGCTTGGGTAAGCACAGGGGCCAGGGTTTGGTCCCTGTCTCGCAATGCTGTGATGGCCTCGCCCTCGGGCACGCTGAGCTGGCGATGGAGTCCGGGCGTGGTGGCCTGTGCCTGTAATCCCAGCACTAGGGAGGCAGAAATCAGAAGGATCACTATGAGTCTGGGCTGTGTAGTGAGACCCTGATGACAAAAAAAAAAAAAAAAAAAAAAAAAAAAAAAAAAAAGCTAAATTCTAAATCTTTTGCCGGTTATTTGTTGTGAGGGGGGGTCACAGGAGGTAACATCTCGGTAGCTGAGGCTGGTTGTAGCAAGGCAATGACACACAGACATGTGTTGTCCCAGGACTGTATGTGCCACCTTTCACAGGCCCGCCAGCTAAAGTCCTTGCTCTCAACATACAAACCACCCATAGGATTTGGGCAAGCGCGCATAGGCTTGGAGGAATATAATTCTGCTATTCCCACATGAGGCAATCATTTGTTAGCCATATGAGTTACAACTGGCTTTTAAAGCAGCAGTTGCTATAAGAATAATAATAAAAAAATTCAACTTATGGAAAATTTCAACCATCTCTCCACATAGTTCTTTCATTTCCAGTGGGATTTGCTCGGGGCCTTGGGAAAGGAGAAAATTTTCCTAGTTGTAGTTATTTCAAACCAGGCTGCCGGAGCAGAGTGGTGAATGAAGCTGTGTGAGGGAGCGAGTGAGAAGCAGGGAATAATGAGACAAATTTGTGATTTATTTCAATGCCTTCAATTCTCAAGGCGTGTTTTAAAATATGCCTCTTTTCGGGTGGCACATTGCGGGGGAACCACAAAGCTTGCTATTGTGTATGCCTGGACTGCACAAGGAACATACGGTCAGGGGTGGTTGGGGGTCATCTCGGTTACTAGTGGGGGGGTGTCTTAGTTACTTTTTACTGGTTACCTAACACTCAAAATGAAGAAAGGAGAGGTTTATGTAGCTCACAGTTTGTGGAGGTTTCAATTCATACTCTGCTGGCTCCAAGGCAAACTGGCGGCAGAAAACAATGAAGAGCAGAGGAGGAGGACCAGCACATGAGGAAGACCAGACCTTCCCCAAGGAGGCGAGGGGGGGCGGGGGCGGCCAGGGAAGTCCTCCTTAACTCCCTTATATGCACTTTTTTGTGCTGAGTCACTCTGGGGTGGGCCCCTCTCTCCCTAGGGTGGAACCAATTGCATCCCAGGGCAAAACCAATCGCTCCCCTGGGTGGAACCAATCATGTCCCAGGGTGAAACCAATCGCACCCTAGGGTGGGCCCTCCAGAACTGCACTGAGTAGATTCAGCCAAGTTGACACAATTTATCAACCACTATAGGGGGTTACAAATCAGTTTTTCATTTGCTCTTTGCAATTTACAATCATCTGCTCCCATTGATCATTCCCTGATTAAGCACATCTTTGAGATCACTCTTAAAAATATACCTCAGCCGCCCTTGGGGGTGCATGTTTATAATCCCAGGATCCTGAGAGGCTGGGGCAGGAAAATTACAAATTTGAGTTCAGCATGGGAAAAAAAAATTGGGGGCACTATGTAGCTTACCACAGAGGTCTGTACTAGAGAAAAGAAACAAGCTGGGTGTGCTGGCACATCCCTCAGTCCCAGCCCTCAGGAGGCTGAGGTAGGTGGATTGCTCTGAGTTCAAGGCCAGCCTGGGCTACATAATGAGGCCCTGACTGAAAAAAAAAGGAAGAAAGAAACCAACTCAGATTTTTTTGGTCAAGATGGCCTTATTTATTTATTTAATTTTAGGGACGGGTCTACAGGGTGTTCATCTCACTGCTAGATCGGACTTGTAGTGATCTGCCTGTTTACAGCCTCCCAAGAGTTGGGATTGTAGGTGCGCGCCACCACGCCCAGTCTCAATTGCTGTCTCAACACACCCCGGGGTTGGGGCTGGCATGGCAGACCCAGGATTCCCTGGGCCTGCTTACAGGCGCTTTAATTCGCTGAGCTATTTGGCCAGCCCTTATTTATTTATTTAGAGATGGGGGTTTTGTTATGTATTCCACGCTGGTTTGAAAGTCACTATGTACCCCAGGCTGGCCTTAAACACATGGGGATCTTCCTGCTTCGGCCTATCAAGTAAGTTCTGGGATTACAGAAGGGCGCCACCCCAACCGTCTCAAGATGGCCTTCATCCGATAGGCACATAGATGTTGTTTGCTATATGCTAACTATGGCCCCATTTACAATTTGGGGGGGCGCATCAGGTGCTTAGCGTGAGTCCTAGACTCAACTCCCAGAACCACCAACCGTGAGACACAAAGAAATATCTATCGTTTTATAGAGGTCTTGGCTTTCTCTGGAGCCTACCAAACAGGTAAAAATGACAAGGAGCATGTGGCTGGTGTTGATATTCATTCGGTGAACATTTATTTTTTTATTTTACTTTATTTTTTAGTATATGGAACGCTTCACCAATTCATGTGTCATCCTTGCACAGGGCTCATGCCAATCTTTTCTGTATCATTCCCATTTTAGTATATGTGCTGCCGAAGTGAGCACTTGGTGAACATTTACTAAGCAGATATTGTGCGCTGGATGATAAATAAAGATGAGCCCCACTGTTGAACAACTCAATCCTACAGGAGAAAGCAATACATGTTAACTCGCTCTGACTCGAAGTGGTTAGGAGTGTGTGTGCAGAGTCCAGACAAGCGAGTCACTCTTGTCTTGCGCGAGGCTCAGAGGAACACTCCAGTGATGATTTCTAGGGAGGAGCTGCTGCTGCAAGGAGGTGAAGACTCACTGGAGGAAAAACGGGAGCCAAGGTGCGGAGGGAACCAGACGTGCGTGCTGGTTAATCTTGGCTGTCAACTTGACGGGGTTGAGAGACACATAGAAAACTGGCAACGCACACTTCCAGCCCCATACTTTTAAGGGCACTTCCAGGGATGATGGGTGGGTGCGCCTGTGAAGTGAGTGCCGAGGACTGATTTTGTAGGTGGGCAGCGCTGCTGGAAAGGCGGGAGGCCTGGATCGAATACAAAACTTGAGACCTGAAGCGTGAAGCCTGCGCCTGCGCAGCTTTGCTCTGCTTGAGCCTATGCGTTTTTTGGTGCTGCAGTCTCCCATTCCTGAAGAACACGAGGTTCTTCAGCCTTTGGACGTGGAACGGCACCAGGCGCCTTCTAGGCTTCCCCCTCTCAGTGCAGCTGCCTTATTGGTCCTTCTTGTTCTGAGGCTTCTGGCTTCTTGGACTGAGCAGCTACTGGTTTTTCTGGCTCTCCAGCCTGCGGGTGGACGTTTTGGGACTATCCAGCCTCCCTCTTGATTGTGTAAGTGCATCTCAGAAATCTCTCCTTTTTTTTTTTTTTTCTTTTCTGAGACAAAGTCTCCCTATGTAGCACAGGCTGGCCTTGAACTCATGACAATCTTTCTCAGGTACCAGAGCACTGGGATTATAGGCTTGCACCACCACAGCCAGTTTAAATCCCCTCATTATATATATGTTCTATTGATAAGGTTGTAGAGGGGAGCCCTACCTTCTTCAAAATTGGGCTGAAGATGAGAGCCTTGCTACCCAAAGTGTAGTCCCCAGAGGAGCAGCATTTCCTCACCTCAGATGTTCAGACCCTGACTTACTAGGTCTGGGAGCAGCCCATGAATCTGCATTTCTCACAAGTTCCTGGGTGGTGTTATGCCAGAGGCCTAAGACCTGCCCTCTGAAGAGCAAGGAAGGAGGGCTGCTGAGCCTAAAGCCTGGGGTGTGGAACCGTGGAAAGCGGTGTAAGGTAGTGTTGGGAGTTCTGTTTCAACCATTGTAACTCTCCTCTTGTCCACAGACATAATTCTACAAGATGTCAATTATTGTCGCTCATCTTGAACAACTTCGGTTTCGCAGGCTAGGAGATGTTATCGAATGGCTGTAAATGTGCCGGCACTTGGGAAACTGGCGAGAACTAAGAGAACTGATGAAAACAAATACCCTTTGGTGTGAAGATACAAAACAGACGGCTTGTGTCCTAGGACTCTTGACTTAGTACCTGCGGATCTAGTACTAAGTTAAGAGTCCTAGGACAATTGCTCATGTATTTATTCATCTGATCATTTGACCCTGTATCTGCATCTCTGCTAAGCACTGAGGACCTTAGAGAAGGCTGATGGTGGGAGGGGCAGGAGGGAAGGAGAGACTATAGTATTTTGACCCAAACTTGAACTCAGGCTTGGAAATCATGTTTTTGTTTCTTTTTTCTAGAACATTCTGAGGGAGAACAAAAGAAAATATAGAATCTGGGTTATGTGTAGAACTTGAATAACTGTAGGATAGGAGTTCAATATAGAGGACTGATGAACTGTTGCTGACTTGTAGACAGTTGTGGGGTGGATCACAGTCTAAATGTATATGTATGGAGCTGTTTTTAAAGTTGTGTAAGAGGTTGTCTAGATAAGATCAAATATAATAAAAATCTGGCTCCACATCTCATCTCAAAAGAATGACAAAACTTTAGTTTGACCCACACTTGGCCCAAATGCCATCACTGAAATATTAGTGGTACCTAGATGGATGATATTTTAAAAATTATTATTATTATTATTTGGCTTTCATTATGACTAAAATGGAAAGGACCTGAAAGTTTGCCAGAAAAGGTTGCTAGTGAATGGGGAGAGAGATATATAAATGATCCCCTACTCATCACTTTATGGAGACAAATGAAGGCAGAGGGTAACGGGCAAGAAAGACTGAAGTTCTATACCCTTGAGAAGTTGCCCAGTCCTTCACTGATGAGCAGCTTCGGGCCAGGTACTTTTCAGAGAATATGCTCTAATCCTCTACCAGCGACATGGGCAACAATCTTTTAAATGTTTTACAGTTAAGTAAGCTGAAACTTAGAAAAGTGGAGTAGCTTCCTCAAAACGACACAGATTGTACAGTGCAGTCTTATCTGAATGCAGGTCTTTGGCTACTTGTGCTGTGTCTTATGGTGGCATGTCTGTCTGTATCATGGGTGCTTTGATTTGTCTTGGAGGATTTAGGACTCAGAACTAGTGATTTTTGGAACAGGTCAAAAGCCCTGTGTGGCTGGACCTGATGAAGTCAACTGCCGCAAGGGCAAAGTTTCAGTGAATTCCTCAGAAATTTTTTATTGTTTGTGACAGACTCTAGGCTGGCCTTGAACTCAGCGCAGTCCAAGCTTCATATTCACAATTGAAAATCCTCTGTCTTCCGTCTCCTAAGTGCTGAGATTACAGGAGTATGCCACCCCACCTGGCTCTCAGACGTTTTTTAAATAAGAGAAATGAATACTGAATGCCATCTTGAACCCCTAGAGAAATTTTTATAGCTTTATTTTTTATTATTATTTTTTTTTTATTACATTTATTTATTGTATGTGTGTGTGGCCAGCTCAGCCCACCGGGGGCGGGGCTGGCTGGTATGTGGTGCTGGGGATTGAACCGCGGTCCCTGTGCTTTGCCAAGCTTGTTTCAAGTAGGTGCTTTAGACCACTGAGCCATCTCTCCAGCCCCTTTTTATAGCTTTAGAAAAGACTAAGACTTAGTGGTATCCATAGTATCTTGAAACCTAAGAAGAACTGTATGACCCTCTAGGAAAGGAAAAATTTTTTGTTGGAGAAGCTTTGCCAGAAGGATTAGAGATGCCTCATAACCACCCATTAGAAACTTGGATCCAAGCATGGTGCGAGACACCTGGAATCCCAGAATTTGGGAAGCTGAGGCAGGAGGACCTCCAAGAATTCAAGGCCAGTCTTGGTTGCATAGTGAAACCCTGTCTCAAAAAAAAAAAAAAACAGCAGGGCTGGTGAGATGGCTCAGTGGTCTAAAGCATCTACTTAGAACAAGCTTAGCAAAGCACAGGAACCGCGGTTCAATCCCCAGCACCACATGCCATAGTATTCAAGATACTATGGATACCACTAAGTCTTAGTCTTTTCTAAAGCTATAAAAATTTCTCTAGGGGTTCAAGATGGCATTCAGTATTCATTTCTCTTATTTAAAAAACGTCTGAGAGCCAGGTGGGGTGGCATACTCCTATAATCTCAGCACTTAGGAGACGGAAGACAGAGGATTTTCAGTTGTGAATATGAACCCCTGGTGGGCTGAGCTGCCCCCCCCCACATATACACAAATAAATAAATAAAATT